CAGGGCAAGTGTGTAATATATGAGGAATTGGACTAAAACACAGATAAGGTTCTAATAAGCAAATATGACAATGGAAGAGAGAATTAAGGAGATAAGATTTTATATGAAATGATCACAGTGATTAATAAGCACAGTATCAGAGCTGAGTAAGGACAGAAGTGAAGTCATGTCTAGGAGACAATGAAGAGTTGAAAATTGGTGTGGTCAATAGACTAAAAGTTGCAATGAGGTTCAAAAAAAAGGGGAAAGGGGGATGAGTATTGCAATGAAGCTGCAGTCACAGAAAGAGATGGCTGAAATTAGATTTGAGAGGTGGCAAAAGTCTAGGAATGATAATGAAAAAAGATGGGCTGGAGGCGAATGGAGGAAAACATCACTGAAAATGAAGAGGCCAAATAACTGAGAGTCCAGAGTCTTTAATATATCACTTACACAGAATTTGAAGTCACTAAGAATTGTGATGGGAATAATATTTGGGAGGAAGAAAGTGAATAGGCTGGTAGACAACATGATAATATAGATGGAATAGTCTGATATCATGTGCTTCAAAGGAGCTCAGGATTTTAAATAAGGAGAGTGAATAAATGATGGGAAAGCAGCTATAAAAATATTAGAGGTTACCTGCCAACGGTATGACCCTATATTACATAAAGCAAGAAGTTAAAAACAGCCAGTAAGGGGAGGGCTACAAAAGCATCTCTTACGAATATGCAGATCTGAGTTACAGCAATAAAATAAAAGGAACATTAAGAGGAAAACCTGAAGACACAGATTTTGCTGATGAAAGACCACAAGTGCCAAAAGACAAAGTCGAAATATGGGTGCTTGTAAAGGGATAGCTGACTGGAATTTGAGGATAAAAAAGACAAAAGGAGATAAGAATCTAGATGATAATGAGTGACCTGACAGTTGGCCTTTAATTCCTGCTATGGATCGTATTCCAAGTAGAAAAAGGATTTTACCAGAAATACAAAAATCTTAAATCCAGTTCTAATTTTAAGTGTATTTTATTAGAATTTCATTCATATTTTCCAGATATATGACAAAACCAGAAAAATATTTTCATAAACATTTTTGAATGTGGCCCATAACAGTATGTGAATTATTTTTATGGCACTGATATACAGTTTCTGGAGAGTTCCAAAAGGCAACCCATTTAACCCATTGTGGATTATGTATGACCCACAATGATGTCACAAAGGCATATTTGTGCAAGAAACACTTTGGGGCTGAATGTATCAGGTTAACTTTACATAGTCACTCAAGGATGTCTGCATTTAGAGAAAAGCAATCTAAAAGACTTCTTAAAAGAAATCAAATGCTTTATTATCAGTCATAACCAATTGTTTGGGGAGCCATGTTAATATTTATTTCTTGATATAGTATAAAATTTAAAAAGTAAGAGTTTAAAAGGAAGAAGATCTATGTTCAGAAAAGGCTGAAAGACTTTATATAAAACCTGGCTATCAATTAATTTAAGGGGAAAGGGTTGGTTAATAGCAGCTTTCAGCTAACTACATCAAATACATCAGGAAAGGTCTTTGAAAACAAAAAACCAGAATAATAGTTTCATGAATGTTAAATGTGTGTGGATAAAAGATAAAGCAGGTAAAACATATTATATTTTGAAGATTTCATCATATATTTAGCAGTATGATTCATTCAACTACTATCTTTCCAATTTAGTCAAGTAACCTTCTTTAATTTAAAAATAAAAGATGAGACATCTTCCTGAATCATAAGCTGGTGACTTACACTGCTTCAGGTAATCTGAGAATGCAAAGCAAAAAGTCAAAATAATTTAGTTTACATCTGATGGGGATGCTTTGGAAAAAGCATTTTATATTTGCATGCCTATGTTTCTACACAGTTCAAAACAAATAAACTGATAGTCAACTATACACAATAATAAACTACAGAGTAGGGAAAGGTAAACTATATATACATGCTAATTAATTTCTTTCTTTGAATAAAATAAGTAGTAATATTAGAATATGTAGTGAAACTGGAAGATACCTGGACAGTTTATTAGTATGCATTTATATAGTCAAGAAATATTTCCTGAAGACAAATGTGACAAGTATTGTTCTAAATACTGAGGATACTGCAATTAATAAAACAAAGTACCTACTATCATAAAGCTTTCATTATATTTTAACACTCTAAATAATTTTAGGGGAAACCTCTAGAAGGAATTCAGTTTTGAAAAATTTTGAAAAATTTCTGAAGAATATTCAAAACTAATTAAAAGTTCATCTCTGTAGTAAAATACCCTCCCCACCCCTTCTATTTATCAACCCTGCAAAAACAGTTTTTGACTAGCTTCTAATTACAAAGGATTGACCAAACTATTTAGTATTTAGGCTTCCTCCAATCTATTACTAAACACTACAAGGAAACTAATCACTGAAAGTGTTCATGGTTCATAAAAGGAAAAATGGAAGTGTAGAAGAAATACAGCATTTCTCATAGGTCCTCTCTAGTCTGCCTAATTCAATTAAAATAATTCTAATCCTATCTGGCTAAGTAGTAGAGAACAAGAAAGTTTTCCTACTTAGTACATAAAAAAAATCTGGGTGCTCCTCACACAGAACCCTTTTTAATTTTTTTTTTAATTTCCTGAGGATTCAAACTAAAGACATATTACTTCTCTGGGTTTCACTGTCTTTACCTGTTAAAACAATAGCAGTGCCTAACTCTTAACATTGCAGATTAAATGAGATTAAGGCATAAAAAGATGTCAGTGCTCAATTATACCTGATGAGATAGATCATCTCATTACCCTGTGTAGTGGGTTCTTAAATAACAGTTTATATTTATCATTATCATCCCCAAAACCATAGTTAGGAAAAATAATAAATAAAACTACAATAAAGCTACTAAAAGATTTCTTTATGTTTTGGCAAGATGATTAACCATGCATATATTCCTCAAACTAAGCTGTAAGATTAGTTAAATCTTAACTAAGCTGTAAAAAGCTGCAGTTAATGTGAAAATAAGACACGAAAGTAAAAAGATCAGTATCTGTAGAGTATCAGTAACACTAATGTTACCAATATCCAGAATTCCTGAAAATGGCTCAGTGTGGGAAATTTTCAGGAATCAAATAAAAGCTCCACCAACAATATGCTTTATCACATTTTATTTGTTATTCCAAAGACTCAAAAGTGTTTCTTATCTTTAAAAACATGTTTATGCCTTTTATTTCCAAGTAGAGTTAACAGTGGAATTAAATACAGAGACATTATCATCACTTAAGGATATGATTATTATCTTCTGGCCTTATCCTAGTCCAGACCACATTGGAAACCTCTAAAATGATTTTATTCAAAGAAAATCAAAAAATAAAGAACAAAAACAAAACCAAGGAAATAAGTAGAAAAATCCTTACGTTTAATTAAATCTGGAAAATCATGTTGGACTACAAATAAAGAATTAACAAAGATAAGACCTGAAGTAAAGCAAAAATAGTATTAAGAATCCTTCATTTAAAAACTTGCAATCCTTCAACGATCTGGAAGAAAGCCAAGATTCACCCCAAATGGAGAGGTCACTAAATATCCATGAACACTCACCCAACCACTGGTAGGAGACCTCTTGAAGACCCAGATGCTTGAATAAGCTGAAATAGTACCAAGTGTTTACTGATTACTCTTAATAGGGCAATGGAGCACAGGTTACTCCATACTATCAAAAATTAAAGGTCATTACTATTGATAATTCTAGCTACTACCATTATAAATTACTCAAAGAAAAGGAGACTGAGTAACGAGTTCTAAGGTGAGTGAAACTGTGTGCATGTATGTATATGTGTACGTTTCCTCTAGTTCTCTTAGTGATATAAGTCTGATAACATAATTCTTGTCAATGTAAGTACATTGGCAGAATAAAATTTTTAAAATTGATATGTTATAAACTTCTTAAGGAAAGCATGTAAAATATTAATATGGGTTCAAATAGAAAATTCTAAAAGAATAATTTGTTTTTTAAAGACACTTTAAAAAAATATAGTTCTTAACGTTAGGTTTTTAATATACTAATGATTCTTCTAATAAGGGGATTCTTATATTTCACACATATAACTCATAACACTGAGGACTAAGCAAAAGCCTCCTTGCTCAAAGGTGAAGACTATTTTCAACATTATTAAAATCTGAAAGTTATCAGTTTAATAGAACAATATCTGATTAACCTAATTTCAAAGAGGAGTAAAGTAGGGTCAACACCAAGATGAAATACAATAATGTTTTTCTCAACCTCTGGAAAGGAGGAGGCAAAATGATAACCCTTCCCACCCTACATTCCCCCTATACCATGACTCACTCCAAAGATCTATGTGGTAAAAATTAAGACAGTATTGCAGAAATTGCCAAGAACAAAAAATGGAAGGTTCTATATTTCTGTATTTTTCTCAAGCAACTAAGATATAAAAACTAATCTCTGATACATGTGTATCAAGTAAGGGAACAAGTGAAATAGTTAAACAGTTTAGACAGACAGGGAGTAAAAAAAGAACATTTGACATTTAATGTCAAGTAAGCATATTCAAACTACCAAAGAAACACCGAAATCCCAAGCCAGCAAAAATATTCCAATCTGGCTGATAAATGACTTAAATGTTAGCTTTCTAAAGACAGCTTTGCAGTATAATATATCTATCACTTACTAAACATGAAAGAACTTTTGAAGTCTTGAGAACAACAAAATAAGGAAGACCAGAAGCATAAAAACATTTCCTGTCTGCCTATAGTAGAAGAGGAAAATCTGATAAAGTCAGGAACAGCTTTGAGAAAAGAATGGTGAAAAGGAATGGCTAGTAGAAGACTAGCACTACAGTAACTAAGAAACCTAATGTCCTAATATGAAGAAAACCTAAAGATAAAAAAAGAAAGAATCAAAACTGGAGTAAAGAAAGACTTACATAAAAAAATTTGTGAGATTATTACACACATTTCAGACCTTCACTGCAAATTTTAAATGACAAAGTATACCAATATTACCTTTCTTTCGAAAGAGTGCATTTAGGTAATTTTCTGCTTGGCATTCAATCTTTTCAGTGTTGGACTGGCCCTGAGATGATAGTTCCTCTGTTGGTGTTGACTGTGAAGAATCAAGAGATGGAATACAATCCTAAAATTATAAGAAAACAACATAAAAAAATTTTATTATACATTAAATTCCATTAAAAATTGCAAAAAATTGTCCCTAAGTGCTCATTTATTCTATCAAATTATATAGAGAGAACATAAAATTTGGTACAGGAGTCAGGAGAAAAGAAATTTAGCTCTGATACCAAATTGGCCTTATTTCTTAGCAAAACCACAGTAAAAAATGGAGTTGAGAGGAGAGTAGATAAAATATATTGATAAATAAATTCATTATATAGCATGCCAATAATAAGAGTTGTAACAACAAAGCAGGTGTGTTTACCCACTAATTTGACCAAATTGGGTACAGATTCTCAAGTTCTCATTTCTTTTCAGCCTTTCTCACAACAGTAAAGAATTAGGACTTTCCACCATACAAGAAGATGCTGCTTGTCTAGTTTGTGCCCTGTTTATATTAGACACTAAATATTTAATCATTTACACAGGAAATAACTGTGATCTCCAAAAGACTTCAAGAGAGTAAAAGCCTAAAACGTAGTACCACATTATCCTCCAGCTATAGATTCCTAAGAAAGACTACAGGGTGGTCTCAAATCAAACTAGGCCTCCAAACTCACCGTCATCTACATAAATACAAAACAGATCTAAACTGAACTTCATGAATCAGGGAGCTATAAAGAAGAAACGTGAAATAAGCAAAAGAGATGAGAGTTTTGTGATTTCACCTTCAAGTTAAGCTAAATGTTAGACTTCTAACATAAGAATTTAAAATATTCTTCTCATTACCAAAATCAAGTATTTAAACTTCCACTGTAAATCACCAATTTTCAGAATAAATTCAGTTAAAAAAATTGTGTTACAATTGTACGATTAGTTTAGAAATAATTTCATAGCACTAAAACTTACACTGACTGCTTCTCTCTGTAGATTACAAAATGAACATTTTTCATCCATAGACCAGTCAGTCAGCTCTTCTGGTTCACAGTCTTTAAAAGAGGGAAAAATATTCATTAAATACACTAACTTTATTAAAACAATAAAATTACCGCTCTCCACAGCAATGGCTCATATTAAAAAAAAACTAACTACTAGTAGGAAGGGGAGAAGGCCTAACTTTGAAATTAAAGTGATGACCTCTAGAAAAATAAACAGAGAAGGCTGTAAGGAGAGTAATTTGCACTATTATGGGACAAAGTAGCAAGAACAATGAGCTGGTTATAAATTAATTTTCTAACAACAGGGTCTTAAGTATCATCTAACCTTCCAAAAGATTCAATTTATCATTTCCTATTTTTAATTTTCACTACGAAAGAAATCAAAACTGGGAGATATGGGGGGAAATAAATAAATTTTACATATCATGAAAGCAGCATAAAAACAGAGAAATGGAGCGAAGCACCAGAAAAGCCCACAGATTTGAGATAATAGAATTAAAAAAAAAAAAAAAAAAAAATCTATAGTAGCTAAAGAGTCAGATCAGATTTTTAACACACTGTTTAAAGGTGCTGTTGCAAGAGTTAGAGTAGAAGACAGGTAAACATGTTTTATTATTCAACACAAAACATGAATTTTTTTTCACAAGAATGTTTCCTATAATTAAACTATTGTAATATAAAGTTTGTCCAAAACAAACATTTATAATGGAGATATTTTATGAAGATATAGTAACATTGCCATCCTAACTATACTTAGTATAGACAGTGATTTTTCAAATTTCCTCCTTGCAGTAAAACTCTCAATTTCTTTTCCCTGATAAATTCTTACACAGAACCTCAAATATATGAAACCATTATCATCTGAAGCAGTTACCCTGGCACTAATTTGAAAAGCACTGGGGTATACCACAGTCATTTTCTCTCACACTTGAAATACGTAATGATGTGGAATACATGTTTCTACTTAACTACACAAAAAATAAGCTTACCTTTACTGGAATGATAATAAATAAATAAGAGTTAGGATCAGCCTTTAAGAAATTCTTGCATCAATCCAGATATACAAATCAGAACAGAAGATAATATAATGTGTTGGAGTATAAAGTGTGTAATGATAGCTCCCTTTGGTTTTAGCAGTGACCCAGAAATATTCCCAATATTTATCTAAACTTAGAAATGGTAGGAAATGGGAGCATAAGACCTAGTATAACGCAATGGAAAGAAAACTGGATTTAAAGTCTATAAAAAATCAGGAATGGAATTTACTAGTTGTAACCTCTCAAGACACAATGTTTTTGTTTTAATTTTCACATCTGTAAAGTAAGGATCCCACTACCTAACTTACTTGTGGATCACATGAAAAAATGTGAAAATATTTTATAAACTATAAAACACCATGCAAAGGCTAGATACTATCAAAACAAGATCATCAGTCATTATTGTTTAAATCCTATACAATCAAAAATATATTTAATAAGGTTAATTTGCAGAAGACAGATAATTATATCAATTTAAGAAAACTGATCACTATTTTGTAAACAACCTGATAAATCAAAAAGTTTAAGCAATCTATAAAATTAGAAACCCAGAACTGTAGTTACATAGGTTTATAATTTTCTTCAACCTTTCACTCTGTCACTATGCAATAATACATTCACTCTCCTGAATGTGGAATTGTGCAATGTCTCTTAGTGATCAATGGAATAAATGTGGGAGAAGTGACAGTACACTATTCCTAGCTGAAGCTTTAAAAAGTATGGCAAGTTCTGTTGAGTTTCTACCAAGCAACACGAAAAGAACTTGCCCAAGACAGCCATTCCTCATTCAGACTGGCACCTGGAGTCATCAAGAGAAGTGACCCTTAAAGTCCAGAGAATCAGATCATCCATGAGCAAGCAACAGATTTTAGAGCTCTTTGTTATACAGTATTACTGTGCAAAAACTTGACTCATATGCTAAGCATGATAACTTTGATAGATCAAGGATATCTTAGTGCCTTTTTATTATTGTCTCATGAATAAAAAAATGAAAGGAACTGTGATCACACTAGCACTGTGACTTTTAAAAAATGGCTGATAGTCCTGGAGAAGAGGTATTTTTGAAAAACCACTGTAAGGTCTCATGAAGTTTCAGTGATAAATATGTTGAAATGAGGACCAACTCTGGATTAATTAAAACAATTACCAGTTATAAAATAAAATTGGGCATGCTCAGATTATATCATTTATTTTAGTTATTTTAGAAATTTTTCAAAGAGATGTTAATTAAAGTAAATCCCTATGTGGTTAAATAAATAGCACTGAATAAATCAACAATGATATAAATGTCATTAAATTTTGCTGGATTAAAAAAATCTATGACTTTACTTGCAAATATTTAATAACTACTCTTTCTACATCAACTTTTGATTTTGAGTCCAAATAAATGATGAAGAGTTACATTTTATTTACTGGAAAACAAATTTTGAAAAATAAAGTCTAGGCCAGATTTGTCCGTCTGTCCAGGCTATCTTTTCATGTTACAAAACACACTCATTCTATCTCTCAAACAAAATAAGACAATAAATCAGATATCCCTAAAATAAGTCACCTCTCATTCTGAAATTTTAGTACACGAAGCTATAATCTCAAAAAGGGTCAAATTGGGGCGCCTGGGTGGCTTAGTCGGTTAAGCGTCCGACTTTCGCTTAGGTCATGATCTCGCGGTTCGTGGGTTCGAGCCCTGCGTCGGGCTCTGTGCTGACTGCCAGCTCAGAGCCTGGAGCCTGTTTCAGTCTATGACTCCCTCTCTCTCTGACCCTCCCCTGCTCACGCTGTCTCTCTCTCTCTCCTAGAAATAAATAAAACATTAAAAAAAAAAAATTAAAAAAAAAAAGGGTCAAATTATGTATCTCAAAGAAAAGGCAATGTCATTCATAATGAGAACGGATAGTAAATGACTAACAAAAGAGCAATGATTTCACCATGATATATATACTCATGGCCAAAGTTTGGTTTCTAGTCATTTTACCTAATCTATCGACTTTGAAATTAGAGAGCCTTGGAATTGAGATATCTTTCCAAATACTAGAAGTGGCCTTTGGCAGGTTACTTTCCCTATGCTTCAACTTCCTCATCTGTTAAAATGAGGATAATAATTGCATCTTCAGACTGTAGTAAAAATTAAACAAGAATATATGAAGAATTTAACAAGTCCAGTTGGTGGTACGTTCATTTTCTTTCAGGTAATCATACTTCTTTTGAATGTTGTTTATTCTCTTCAGTACCCTTTAACCATAAGAAATAATTATAAAGTTCCCAAAGACAAAGCCCAACGAAAATTGAAAAAAGAGAATACTGAACTAGATTGTTCATGAAGGTCATGAAAAAGGAGTTATAACTATGTTGATTTTTTTTTTTAATTTTATAAATGTTCATTCACTTTTGAGAGACAGAGAGAGACAGTGTGAGCATAAGCGGGGGAGGGGCAGAGAAAAACGGAGACACAGAATCCAAAGCAGGCTCCAGGCTCTGAGCTCTCCACACAGAGCCTGAGACAGGGCTCAAACTCACAAACCATGAGACCATGACCTGAGCTGAAGTCGGAGGCTTAACCGACTGAGCCACCCACGTACACTTTAACAATGTTGACTTTGAGGGAAGATCCTGAACAGTGGGCAATGTTATTAAAAAATATTTTTTTCTTATGAAATTACATAGTAACTATAAAGTACAAAGAAGAAAAACTATTTGTAATCCCATCATCCAGAGATAATGATTAACATTTTGCAATATATCCTTCTAGTTTATATTCTATGCATTTTCAAAAATGAGCATCTGCTGATTCTTTGAAAACATCAATAAAACTGATAAACCTCTACCCAGCCTAACCAAGTAAAGAGAAATATCAGAAATGAAAGATGGGCCATCACTACAGATTCAATGAATAATAAAAAGATAATAAAAAATATTATGAACAATATTATTTGCCAACAAATTTGGTAACTTTAGATGAAATGGACTAATTCCTTGAAAGACACTATCTACCAAATCTCAAACAAGAGAAAACAGATAATCTCAATAGGACTATATCTACTAAAGAAATTAAATCAATAATCAATAACCTACCGAAACAGAAAGCTCCAATCCTGATGGTTTCTCTACAATCTGTGCCAGAAAATAAAAGCAAAAGAAATACTTCCCCATTCTATCATTACTATTATCTATCATCATTACCTAACTACCAAAAACTGTCTGAACAGACAGACACCTCAACCAAGGAGATATGCAGATAGCAAATAAGCTTATGAAAAGATGCTCAATATGCCGAGATGCTCAGTATCATATTCCACTAGAGAATTGCAAATTAAGAAAAGCTACCACTACACATCTACTAGAATAGTTTAAGTCTGAAACACTGACAACATCAAATGCTGGTGTGGATGCAGAGTAAAAGGAACTTAAATTCATTGCTCGTAAGAACACAAAATAGTATGGCCACTTTCGAAGATAAGTCTTACAGTTTTCTTCAAAGTTTAACATAACCTTTGCATACTTATCTAGCAATGGGGCTCCTAAGTATTTACACAAATGAGGTGAAAAGTTATGCCTACATAAAACCTTGTACACAAATGTTTATAGCAGCTTTATTAATAATTACCAAAACTTGGAAGCAACCGAAATGTCTTTCGATTAGACTGTGGTACATCTACCCAAGACAGTATTATTCACTAATTAAAAGAAATGAGTTATGATGCCATGAAAAGACACAGAAGAAACTTATATGCATACTGTTCAGTGAAAGAAGTGAGTCTGAAAAGACTAAATACTGTATGATTTCAACTATATGACCTTAGGGAGAAGAAAAAAACAGTAAAAAGAGCAGTGTTTAATATGTACTGGAGACAGAGGAAAGAACTAAAAAGGTAGAATACAGGTGATTTTTAGGGCAGTGAAAACTATTGTGTAGGATACTATAATGTGGATACATGACTGTGCATTCGCCAAAATGCACACAACTGTACAACAGACAAGACTTAGCTAAAGTAAACTATGAGGCTTTCGTTAATAAAA